CGGTTCTCGAGGAAGACACTCCGTCTCTTCGTTTCCTACTGTCCCAGATCATTTAATCGGGGACGCTATGACGGATGAAGAATTCAACCAGATTTATTCTGGTAGAGGAGACGCGAATCTCCCCACTCTTGATAGTCTATTCGAGGATGTTGATGAAGCAGGACTGGATAATCTTGACGGGGACGATGAGCCTACACCGCAAAGCAACGGCGTCGACGTGGAGGCAGGTGAGCCCGAGACCTCTCGAGGTCCGGACAAAGGTAAAAAAAATATAAATCAGATTTATTTGTTTATCATTTTGACAAAGACACAAAAGATGGCATAGTTTATGGAACTTGTAAACATTGCGGGACCGTCATAAAAATGGGAGTTTCCGGCGGTTATGGCGGCCCGGAAAAACACCTAAGGTCGAGGCATCCCGTGGAGTACGCCAAATACGAGGCCAAAAAAAAGGGACAACAAAAAGTGCAAACCCAAATTTCTCGGTTTGCTAACAGAGGTAAGGGCGGCCTTTTTTGCTTATAGCGACGAGCAAAATAAGCAAATATTATGTGTACCTGTCATGTTTTAAATTTATGTGTTCAACAGGGACTACAAGCTATGGGCGGAGTTTTGACAAATATTAAAGAAGGAATTAAAAAAATTTGGGGGGCTCGTCTTATTTCGAGATCCTGGAAGATGTTCTGTAAGTCTAAGGGTAAAAAAGAAATAAGTTTTGACAGAGATATTAACATTAGATGGAATAGTACTTACAAATTGATTGCACAGATCCTAAGATATAAAGAGGAACTTGCTGAATTTTTTAGGGATGAACTTCGTATAATCATTAATCCTTTTTGAATTTGTTATTATTGAAAAACTGAATGCCGTATTAGAAGTTTTTAATAACGCAACTCTTACTTTTTCTCATGTTTACCAACCAACTACAAATACATTTTTTAAAGAGTGCATTACAATCGCAACATGTTTTCGTGAAAGTATGGCTGATCCAGATTTTTACCCTTATGTCTCTCCTATGAGAGATAAATGGTGTACTTATTATTTGTACATCCCTGATATTTATAAAATAGGTATTATTTGTGATCCACGATTTAAGATTGAAAATTTTAAAATTCTAATTGAGTATTACTACAGTTGTTTTTTAGATAAAAATAGTTATTACTACAGCTATTTAGTAGAATGGAAAAATGAAAGAGATAATGCTATAACTCTTTTTGAGGATTTGTTTAAGGAATATCAAGAGTTATACGGTACTGTACAAGAAGAAACAGCACCACCTCCGCCCCCGAAATCAAAAAAAGATTTTTCTGGCATAGTCGGTGGCCTTCTTGCAAAGAAAGGGTAGCGTGCCCAGTCTTCGACAAGTTCAAGTGGTACAACAGTAAGCTCGCACAACGAACTTGCTATGTACCAGGATGTGCCATGCGATTATGATGACGACGATGTCGATTTTGACGTGCTCGGATGGTGGAAGCGGAACGAACACATGTTCCCATGTGATAAGTCGTTTTTGGGTTAGTTTTTTTAATTCTTTTTTAGGCATTTTTAATATTTTTAGTGTTTAATTTTTAGTTCTTTAGTTTAGTTTTATTTTAATTCTCATTTTTACAATCTTTTATTTTTCTTTCAAAAATAGTAGTTTTTTAATAATTTTTTTACATTTTATTATTTTATTTTATTTTCCCTGACCCAAAATTATTAGATATCTTATTTTTTGGAGAAAATTATAGCAAAAAGGCCAAAGTGCAGTTCAAGTTTGAAAAGAAAAGATTGAGTTAACACTAAAAGAGATCAGCGCACCACTCCATGTTTGTTGTCTCACGCACGCAAGAACGAGAAAAGTGTCAGCGGCTTCTTTGCTTGAAATCGGTGAAGCATTCAAGCAAATCTTCTCCAACGTCTCTCCATTAATCTCGTTCAAGCGCTCCAACGGTAAAAAAATTAAAGGTCCTTTGCTCATAATCTTCTATAAATTGAGCTCCGGAAATAACAATTGGAGTGGGGGGAACATCGACGATTGAGAGCCGCGGCGGTGGGCGGTGGAGGAGGCGACAACCAGCGCGGCGACGGTAGCGGCTGCAGCTCCGGTCGGCGGTGGGCGGCGATCTCCAACTCCGGTCATGGCTCCAATTACTTCAATTTCATCTTCTTCTTCATCAATTGGTAACCCTATCTTTGTCAATTTCATTTTTCTTCTCCAATTTCTTTGTAAAAGTGTTGTTTCAATTCAAATTTACATTTTTTTTGCTTGTTGTGTTAATTTCGAAAATTCCAAAATGGTTGGTGTTTCTTTATGGGTTTTTTTATGTTATATTAAATCCCTTATGAATGAAAATTGATTCTTACTAATTTCTTCAATTTTTGCGCAAATTGATGTTAAATCGGTTAAATTTGATTTCATAAGTAGGTTGGTATGTCGAATTCGGTTATCATTGAAACTAATTTAGCTACATATTTTAGTTAAATGATTCTCGAATTCATACGTGAATCTTTTTTGTGACTTGTGTTTTGTAAAATTTTAAGGTAAATGAACTTCTTAGCCACATAAGTTGAACGTTTTCCTTAAGATTCGTTATAAAGTGATTGTTTATGTCTTGGTGTTCTTGTTTGTTATTTTCATAAAAATTGGGATTGTTTAAGCGCAATAAACAACTCTTGATTTAATGAAAATATGTAATGTTCTTTTGTGTGAATAGATTAAAATTCTTATGCTTCAGTTGTTCAAGGAGACCTGCAAAATATTTTCATCATTAGA